CTGAGTTGTCACATCTTAGTTTAGCTTAGAAACATATTCTGATTGATCTTTTCTATGATGTTAGCATAAAGCTAACGGTAAAGTGTTACTTTCATTACGAACATTAACTTTAACATCTAACAACAAAAGTTTAAAATGGCTACAGTCAAAAGAAGCGTAACGAGAGGTTTTTCTTTGATGTCATGTCAAAATTAAGAGTTTAAGCTCGACCCCTCCTTTAGCATGTTGATAAGTTACTTTACTGATCGATTTTTCCGGCATTGATTAACTTCTAATTCCCCGCGACTCCGGCAGGTATGAGCAATGGAACCCAGATGACTCGATAGACGATTATGCGAAACCAGAGACATGTATAGATTTGGTACCGCCATGAAGAACTGCACTTATTTGATGATAATTAGTGCCCCATTGTTTGTATTTTTTTTCTTCTGTTTTTTCCCCTTCTGTTAAACATCTGTCATTTTATTTTCTCTCATTTTATCATTTTATGTGTGCCTTGAACACATAGCAACTCGATTTATTCTTGGTTTATACATGCCTAATGCGTCTGTACATATTGTTTAAAAGCTTTAAAAAAAATTACAATAAAAAATGATATACAGTGCCGCCATCTTGGTGCGGTCGACCGCTCCACTCAGTGTATTTCCTTATGACTGGATCAAATGATCCAGATTGATATTTCCAATACATTATTACTTGAAAAGGAAAGGGGATTTAGAGTATTTAGCAATTTAGGTATGGATAGATGGAAATGAGAGTCATACATGTTGTTTACAATTCTTAAAAAAAAAAAAAAAAAGAAACTTGAGATGGATATGAAACGTAACATTAGGCGTAGGGTGTGAAGATTTTAATGCTCAATTGTTCTTTGTTGGGAAGAGAAGAAGCAGATTATCGTGGTAGATCTATTAGAATATTTATTTAGAAAATTAAAATCTTATGTTTGAATAATGAAAAAAAGTCAATAATTGATATCAACTCGGGTACCTCTTTTGAAGCAGATTTCATAAAAGAAACACATGCAAAGAAGAAGTAAGGATGTACTTATGTTGAAAATATTCATAATGTAAAAGGTGTTCAACGTGAAAAGTCTGCAGCTCTAAAAACAAATTGTTAACAGCAACGTATTAACGCTCTCTAGTGGCCAGAGGTGGAACTGTGACTCTTATAATGCAGGATTTCCACACTTCATTTTCCTCAAGGAAATATGATTCAATCAGTCATAAATATCTCAGGTTGCAATTACAGACTTAAATAATCTATCTAGGTCGAAATAATGATGAATGATATAAGTGATTATTTGTGTACTAAATTACAGAAGCTGTCATTCACTATCAGTGTCTAAATCTGTAGTCTGTTGGCTCTGAATCACTGGGGGTATCGAAGCAAAAGATTACATGATAGTTTCCTTTCAGTTCCTTCCAAGAAAAACACATGTAACAATGCTTAAACAAACCTGATGCACAAACACACACATTTGCACACAATTTTGCTTCAACTATTAAAACATTGATATTTCTAAACTTCTCTTAGCTTTGGGAAATATGACATTGAACCTGTCATTATTCACATTCCTTAATCTTTTTATCGACAGTTCAACTTTATTTTCAACACTATATTTCAACTTTATCCATAACAGTATTTTAACTTAAATTACCAGCATTTTGATTTTATTGACTTGGTGAGGAAGAGGGAAATCATGTTTTTTTTTAAAGAACATATTGAAAAAATATATTCTATCCTTTATTTGGTGAAGGGACATTTGAATGCTTCCAACTACCCCAATAACCCCCAAAATAGACGAGTAGATATCACCTAAAGTCTTAAAATGTGAGATATCAACTAAAATGTTGAGTTCTCTGATACTTGTAGATCTGTGGAATTAAACTTTTATTCTTCTTGTGGATTGAAGACAAGGAAACACCACAAAAATGTGGGAGGTCGATGGGAGTCAACACATGGTCCTCACTACATATAGCAAGATGAGAGAGTGTGTTTGTGTATGTTGTGAAGGTGTATCTTAATTACTCTATGATGCTCAATTCCAATTTGTTTCTGAGTTTCTAGAGCTTTCCTGGCTGCAGTTCAGCCTTTCAGTCACAGTCTGGATTTACACTCCCATAGCTGTATGAAAGGTAGAGAAACAGCCCTTTTTATCAAAGGAGAAGGATGACATCCTGAAGAGATTCTGATTAATTTGATGGACATTTTAGCTGTATGGTAATGGTTTAAACATTAAATCCAAATTTGTTTCCTTTTAGCGTTAAAATGAAATGCAGCACAATTAACTTGTCATTGCTGTGTCATATTAGCAATCTATGGTTAAGGGTTTATTGAGATAAATGATTGAATCTGGTGAAAATGGTGATGGTCGGAATTCTATGAATCCATATTAAAAATGCTTCTAATCACATGGAGCATAACTGGCATTTGCTCTCCAAAAGGAGTGTTCAAATTTGAATCGGTCTTTTTGTTTATGATACTGTTATTTGCTGAGCTTTTTTTATTTCGCCACATATTTTTCTATCGTTTCATTTTAATTGAGGTTCATATTCATTTAGGTTTAGTGTTTTCAGGTAATCTTAAAATCATTTTACTTTCAAATATTTAAAGAAATAAATTTATTTTAGAATAGGCCTATATTGTCTTTCAGTCTTTCTTTAAATTTTCAGGTAAATGTGGTTTATTTTAAATAAGATATCTTTCTTCAAAAATATTGTTATTTAATTACTTGAGTTGTGATAATCACATTGATTTATGTTATCTTATGGAAACCTGGCTGCAGCAAGAGGATTATGTGAGCATAAATGAGGAAACTCCTTCCAGTTATTTAAATTTTCACATACCCAGAAATTCTGGGTTTATCTCTTGAACCTGAAGCAGAATCGACGGTAACTATAGAATCTAAACTGCTTAAACTGTTGAGTGTTGACCTTTCAGGGTTAGCAAAATTATTATCTTCATCTAAGCATTTAATTATTTTTTTCATTATCAGTGTATGTGCTTGTTAAATCCTAATAAGACATGCCTGTTACATTTTTAGGGTAATGTTTTCCCCAACCACTTTATCTTTTTAGGACAAGATTTGGAAATGAAATGGGAGCGTACAGGCAGAGTGGATCATTCTTAACAGGGAGCTTTGTTACTGTGCATTCAGATTTTCCTTGAGCTAGAACTCAGTGTATTACATTATCTAGATATGTTTTAACCCAGTGAAGTCTCCTAATTTTCAAACATGTTTATAATATTTTGATGTGAGATGTGGCAGGGTGTGACACTAAAGATGTATAAAATGCTTCTTTTCACCATTATTTGGAGGCTGCTGCTGAATTTCTGACGAAGCGAGCATGATGTTTCCGTCCTGTTTGTGCTACCTATCTGGTCTGAGTAAGATTACCATTCTGTAAAAACTGTTATCATGTTTTCTATTCTTTAATACAAAAACCTTATAAACTGTTATCTGAAGTGTTTGTTCTTACTGATCTCTTCTCAGGAAAGAATCAGGGAGATAAAGCTTAAAGATTTAAACACAGAACTTTCCTTTCCAAAAGGGAGTTTCCACCCTCACCTGAAAGTAGTATCACTCGTGGAGAGCTGCTGATAGACCAATCAATACAGCTGCACATACAGAGTTGAGGAGATTCCTTTTTAACAAATATCTCCAGTGCTTTTAGCTGTGATTTAAAGTGTTTCTTCCCAGTGATCTCTTCTCAAGGAATAATCTGGGAGAGAAAGCTTAAAGATGTAAACATAGAGCTTTTCTTTACACCTTCAACTTGTATGTTTTATCCAGTGTCACCCAAGTTATTTAGTGAAGTATTCCCTCTGATTTCCAACTCAATTTTAGATGTGATTATTCTATCCCTGTTACAGGGATATGTACCTCCAGCTTTTAAGGTACTGTAGCCATTATTAAACCTTTAATTAAGAAACAGTCATACATACTCCGCTTTGTTTAAAAAAAGAAATAAAAATATATACATTCATCGGCCACTTTATTAGGTACCCCATGCTAGTAACGGGTTGGACCCCCTTTTGCCTTCAGAACTGCCTCAATTCTTCGTGGCATAGATTCAACAAGGTGCTGGAAGCATTCCTCAGGGAGTTTGGTCCATATTGACATGATGTCATCACACAGTTGCCGCAGATTTATCGGCTGCACATCCATGATGCGAATCTCCCGTTCCACCACATCCCAAAGATGCTCTATTGGATTGAGATCTGGTGACTGTGGAGGCCATTTGAGTACAGTGAACTCATTGTCATGTTCAAGAAACCAGTCTGAGATGATTCCAGCTTTATGACATGGCACATTATCCTGCTGAAAGTAGCCATCAGAAGTTGGGTACATTGTGGTCATAAAGGGATGGACATGGTCAGCAACAATACTCAGGTAGGCTGTGGCGTTGCAACGATGCTTAATTGGTACCAAGGGGCCCAAAGAGTGCCAAGAAAATATTCCCCACACCATGACACCACCACCAGCAGCCTGAACCGTTGATACAAGGCAGGATGGATCCATGCTTTCATGTTGTAGATGCCATATTCTGACCCTACCATCCGAATGTCGCAGCAGAAATCAAGACTCATCAGACCAGGCAATGTTTTTCCAATCTTCTATTGTCCAATTTCGATGAGCTTGTGCAAATTGTAGCCTCAGTTTCCTGTTCTTAGCTGAAAGGAGTGGCACCCGGTGTGGTCTTCTGCTGCTGTAGCCCATCTGCCTCAAAGTTCGACGTACTGTGAGTTCAGAGATGCTCTTCTGCCCACCTTGGTTGTAACGGGTGGTTATTTGAGTCACTGTTGCCCTTCTATCAGCTCGAACCAGTCTGGCCATTCTCCTCTGACCTCTGGCATCAACAAGGCATTTCCGCCCACAGAACTGCCACTCACTGGATGTTTTTTCTTTTTCGGACCATTCTCTGTAAACCCTAGAGATGGTTGTGCGTGAAAATCCCAGTAGATCAGCAGTTTCTGAAATACTCAGACCAGCCCTTCTGGCACCAGCAATCATGCCACGTTCAAAGTCACTCAAATCCCCTTTCTTCCCCATACTGATGCTCGGTTTGAACTGCAGGAGATTGTCTTGACCATGTCTACATGCCTAAATGCACTGAGTTGCCGCCATGTGATTGGCTGCTTAGAAATTAAGTGTTAACGAGCAGTTGGACAGGTGTACCTAATAAAGTGGCCGGTGAGTGTATATATATATATATATATATATATATATATATATATATATATATATATATATATATATATATATATATATATATATAAAATATAACCGCGGATGTCTGGGGGACAGTGATTCGCCTATATGTTATGAATGCTGGCGTACCATAAATGATAAATTATGAACAGTTTAGTTTGTGCCTTTAAGTCGTTTCCCATAGGAAGACGTTACTTGGATATAACGTAACGGAATATCTTCAGAAAAGCTCCAAATGACACAAAACTCATATGGGTGAGAGAATATGATGTAATAACATAAAATCAAGGGCCCAATGTAAAAAACAAAAGGCGTTCCCCTTTAACTTTCTGCTTCTCTGTTTTGTCTGAATGCAGAAAAAACATAAGTTATTGTCTTTGGATCAGAGTCCAAACTGTTACTTCAAGGCTGGACTATTGTAATTCTTTACTATCAGGAAGACCCCAAACTGTAGTTAAAAGCCTTCAGCTGATCCAAAATGCTGCAGCCAGATTTCTGATGAAAATGAAAAAGAGAGATCATATCTCTCCTATCCTGGCTTCTCTTCATTGGCTTCCTGTTAAATCCAGAATAGAATTTAAAATCCTCCTTCTCACATATAAAGCCTTAAATGGCCAAGCTCCATCTTATACCAGAGATTTAATTGTTCCTTATGTTCCTAACAGAGAATGAACGTAGAATGGGAGGCAGATCTTTTAGTTATCAGGCTCCTCTCCTGTCTACTTTTAAAGCAATATGTTTTATCAAGGTAATAATTTCTTTCTTGACTTTAGTTCTTGACTTGCTTTCTTCATGCCTGATGTATATTGTGGGATTTTGTGTCCACCATGTAAGAGTTGTTCCCATATATCACTATGGTTTCAGTGGATTAGAACTCTGGTTTCCTCTGATTCCAGCAGCTCTGACTAGCCTGTCCCAAAGGCTTACTGTATACCAATCGTCGGCATCATCGCTCAGAGGTCAAGAAGTTCACTTTCTGAGGCAGATTGACTAATATGACTTTGTTGTTGAGGTGGACAAAAAGGCAACTGTCCAAACCTTTACATTTTTCTCTCTTAAAAAAAAAGCTCAAAAGTTCATTTTTAAGTGTGTCTCACAAAATATAAACTACTATAATACTGAAGAAAGAAAAACCTTTTTAATTGCACAAATGAAAACATGATCAAAGAATTACTCAAAAATAGGCTGAGCAAAGTTTTGAAGTTTCTTAGTATCAGTTATTAACAAAACCACTGCAGTGTCGGACAAAATCTGAATCTAGATGAATAATTTCAGAGTTTCACAGTAAAACTGATGAATAATGACCCAGATCATGGCAGCATGTAACCTGCATGATGCTGAACCGTTTGGAAAATGAAAAAAAAAGCCGGAATCTTAGAGACCCACACCATTTCCCTGTCATTCATTTCCATAGCTTCCTTCATTTATTCCTATCTTGATTTTATTTAATCAGTTATCTCATTAGCTTTTTTTTTTCAATATCCCTTCTGGGACACTTTTTTTCATTTAAATCTGTTGTAGTCTGGCATTCTTTCCCACAGCTGTCAGGCTCCTGAAAGCCTCCTGACACAACAATAAGGACACACAATAATAACATATGGACTGTCCTCACACTCACACACATACCATGGACTGTTCCCCTCACACACATACACAATCTGTATATAATCTGTAAATCTTATCTGCCATTATTTATTTATCTTGTATTATAAACCCGCTAATACATATATAATCCTTTTCCTAACATTCCTGTATATTCTGTGCATGTAGCTCCCATATTCATATTCATATCTATATTTATATTTAGAAACAACTTTTTACAGTCCCTAACTATTACTCTTTGCTTGTACATACACCTGTAATAATATTTATATCCTGTATAGCACTCCTGGATAGATGCAAACCACATTTCGTTGCTTTGTACTCATGACTTGTGCAATGACAATAAAGTTGAATTCTATTCTATTCTATTCTATTCTATTCTATTCTATTCTATTCTATTCTATTCTATTCTATTCTATTCTATTCTATTCTATTCTAAATTTCTAAAACTCTCCCCCTTTGTTTAAGTTTATGTAGTCTTTCTGCATTTAGCAGCTTTTGTCCAAACATATTCATTACTCACACTGTGGGGAGAGTTAGCCTAGTGGTTAGAGCAGTGCGCTTGCGCTCTGAGAAGGTTGCAAGTACCTGGTTCCACCCACAGTCTGCAAACTGGGTTCCTGAGCAAGACCCTTAGCCCCTGACTGCTCCCCAGGCGCTGCACAGTGGAAGCCCACTGCTCCCTAAGGGGATGGGTTAAGATGCAGAAGTAAATTTCTCCATTGCAAGATCAATTAAGTTAAATTATTATTACAATATACTGGTTGTTTTCTTTTTTAATGGAATTAAAAAAATGTAATTTGGCACTGAATATAAATTTAAATCTCGTCGAATTTCAGCTAATTTCAGTCTCTATACAAATTTAAAATGGTATGCATGAGAAAACATTGTTAAAACAATACATACAGATTGTACTGCATATTCTAAAATAGAGAGCATGACTTCGGAGGGTAAAATGATTGAAGTTATGATCATATGAAAACCAAGAGAAAATTGCTTTGCTAATAATGTTGGTTTTTAGTTTGGTGAAATTGTCCTTCTCCTCAGACATCCACAGGTAAGATACTTCATGGCGGTCATGCTGACATGCATTAGCGGGCCCATGTTAAAAAGCATGTGGTAGAAGGCATGAACAGACAGCCCTCCAGTTTCATCAGCATATTTCAGCGCAACGATGGGCGTGTACAGCGGATTGGTCAGATTACGGAAACGGGGCGGGCTTGCTTCAATCACTTTCTGGGTGCACTGCAGAAAAGGAAATACATTACACTCAGCTAAATGAAAAAACATAGAGAAAGTTGCACTGATAAAAGTTAGTTTTACTCTTGCAATGTCATCAGGTGTTTGTCCAAGTGCCTCAAAAATGTCCACAGAGGAAGGGAGGTAGACATTTTTGAAGTAATGCACCGTATCAGGGTCTGCTCCTGGATACTCTTTCTGTTTCACATCCTGAATCATCTTTGCTTCAAATTCTGTGTGAACTGGTCCTGGCTCAATCATCGATAGGCTGTGAGCAGATACATTCAGAGAAACAAGTTATTTCAACGATGAAAACAATAACTCTATCCTCAAATGTTATCTTTGTATATATTTAAGAGCTCTATTTTGGTTAAGTTGGCCTGTTTTACTTTTATTAATTAGAACTTTATTACTTTTTTTTGCTCACATTTACCATATTAACTAATCAACTATTAACATTATTAGATATATTAATGATGTTTTGTTTTAATTTAAGCAAGGGATTTAGCCCCAAGAGGCCAAAGGTCTATGTATGAATGTAAATATTTCACATAGACTCTGTCCTGAACAATATCCTTTGGTATTTTTGCATTTTTTACAATATAATTTTGGGAAATTGAAACCGGACCTTCAAGACTGACTTGCATCAATTAAAACAGATTTGAAATAATCTGCAGTTTTTTATTTTTTTTTTATTTCAATTTTTTGTTTTTTCTTTCATTTTTTGACATAAATCTTTCTTTTTTGAAAAACATTTCACTCTGGATCCTATTTAAACCAGCTCACTAATGGACTTTACAAAGAAACACCACTTAAATTCAGCTATATTAAGGCAATTTCTAAGTTAAGACATTGGTGTAAATAGTGATTAAGCTAAGTTGGTTTAAAAATTCAACGACAGGCTGGCAGAAAATTCATGATAACTTAAGTGTACTGCTTCCTAGCCATTAAAACAACAAAATAGTCTCTATGATTCATAAAATCTCTGACATTTAATGATAGATTACTTCACTGATACTTACATGACGTTAAACTTTAAAAGCTGAACAGCCAAACTCTCGCAAAAGCCCTCCATGGCAAACTTAGAAGCAGCGTAGACATCATTAAACACGACCCCTGCGGAAAAACAGATTTGATTTCAGTCTGTGGAGAGACTTAGTGGGTAATATTAGCCTCCTAATCCACCAATGTTTCCTTTTGTCCATTATCCAACCCCTCAGCCATTATAGCAAAGCGGATGATTTTGTTTGTTGTGTGTAGCATTGCTGCTAACCTTGTAATCCCATAACACTGCTGACCACGATGATGTGTCCCGCTCTCCTTTTCTTCATATCCGGCATCACTTCCTTGATCATCCTGATGACCCCAAAGAAATTAGTCTCAAAGACTTTCTTCATCTCTTCGATGGGAATGCTTTCTAATGGACCCACTAAACCAATACCAGCATTGTTGACTGGTTAGGACAAGGGAAACCAGAGGGGGAAGATAGGTAATGAAATATATATTATAGACTATTTTATTTGCTGTATAAAATTTGTGATATTTGACTTACTAAGGACGTCTACATGTCGATCTTTGATGCCATCAATGCACTGTTTTACAGATTCATCACTGCAGACATCCAGAACAGCTAGAGACAGAGTTTTCCCGTATGCATCCCCTGCAGCTTCCACCAGCTTGTCTTTGCGTTTCAGGTCACGCATTGTGGCAATTACTGAAAAAAAGAAGAAAAATGTTAATCCTGTTCTTAAAGGCCAACAGTTTACCTTCCAAGAGAAATCTTTTAAGAAATAAATAGAAACAACTGTTTTATTTAAATAGTAACTATATATTGAGAAGCTTCAATAGGTTTTCATGGCAAAAAACAATCAGTATCATCGATTAACCCTTTTCCTCTTTTTTATTCATGCAGAACCTCTTTCCTTTGTCCTCTTTTAACACAGAGCTGACAATTATGTGTTTGGGACAGAATTTAACAGCAAAAAACCTTCAGCTGTTGCATCAAGTGAATAATAATTAGGCAGCATACCCAGCTACAGTAGTAGTAGTAATTTGCACCACAACATTTACAAATCACATGGATTTGCTGACTGACCACAAGTGCATTCTGATTGTGCTCTGAAGTTGTATTTCTCCGGGTTGCTTGTTGAAACATGACAAGAACCTCAAAGTAATTATATAATTTGGAAAACCAGTACTATGCAAGCCTGGATGGGTTTTAGTATCAGTAGGACTATTATGGAGCTAATGAGAAAAACAATTAGCATGTCTGGTAGTTTTTATCTCATAAGATTAATTATTTAAAACAACTATTGGTGAGCATTCCTCAGTTGCTTCATAACATATCTTTTGCTCTAATTTGAAAGCAGGTAGCACAGAAATCTGTACCTTCAACGTTTATAGGAGCGTTTAGGGAAGATCATCAATAATACCTGATCATTTCAGGCCAGGTGCTTGGTTTGATACTGTAAAGAAAAACACTGTATCTAAAGATAGTAGATATAGTATAAATAAACCTTAAGACTCTCCTGTTGTGCGTAATCAGCTCTGTTAAGGCAGCTACTTTACATAGTCGTGTTAGCTGTTATTCCCAGATGGCGCTCACATCTCAAGCCCATTTTAGAAACGGCTTCAACTAGATTCAGACTTTACGAGTCAGACAATAATTAGCCTAAGCAGGGCTTTACTGTCTTTTTTCAACAATTGTCTGGGATATTAAGAGTTCAAAGGTTATTTTAGGAACCAAAGTGATGGATTTTCCTCATGGTCTAATTCAGAGTAAAGACTTTATACTATGAGCTCAATTAAAATATAAGATTCAAGAAAGTTTATTTTTATTATGTTTATTAATAATAACAAAAGTTATTTAAACTTTTCAATAACTTACAACCAAAAGTAGAAAACATAAAAACTTTATTAAAGTTTGATATTTATGTTTCTGAACCTTATATAGAGTATCTATGTTTGTAAAACCACTATGGAGCCAAATGTGACAAAAATAAGTTGTAAAGAAGTAAGATCAACATACAAACACAAAGGACAATTTGATAAACGTGGATGGAAGGTTACTTTCAAAGTGATTGCTCATAGCTTTGCAAAACAACTAGATTTTATGCCAGTTCATGGCTTCTTCTGTATTAGAGAACAATTTATCTTTTCTGGCTCGCTCTAGTCTACTGGATATGGTATATATATACATATATTATAAACATAAAAAAATATATAATATTTTGGGTAAATTAAAATTAATTGTGTTTTGAATAAATATGTACATCATCTTTTAGGGATTTTCATCTTCTGCAGATTTTTTCCCATTGGATTCTAACTATATTTTTCAGAGAGGTTGCAAGTGAAAAATAAAATCTGAAAACTATTTCAGTCAAGTTTAAAGCTTTTATACTGTTTGTATTTTTAGACTACTATCACTTCTTTTTGGAGATATACATTATACTCAGGTTTTGAGGATTTGGCTTGCCATGTCAAATTTTCTGACTTTTAGACCCTTTTATTTCCCATTTTATTTTTTATGACTTACGAGAAATTATGATTTCTGTAAAAAGAAAAAACCATGATGAACCTAAAGATGAATGCCTGTTTTCTCTTTAAACTGAAAAATAGCAAATATGAAAAATTGGTTGCTAAACCCTTTATTTCTATTTTGATTATACTGCAATCCAATTTTTGCTGGCTCAATGATGTGCACTTGTACAACTATCTGGTTTTTAACTAGGATCATATACGTCACAGTTCAACAGGTGGCTAATGTGTTTCAGTTTGAGTATTTTGTTTGAAAAGTAGCTCAGGTTGGCACTTATATCTTCATATCAAATATATTTGGCAAACCTTTACAGAAAGGCATGGGCTTCTGTTTTATTAATATTTTTTTATTTGCTGAAATGTTAGCTTGTATAAAACTCAACTGACCTCTGACCTTTATGTGTAAACTGAGATGCTGTCAGATCAAAAATTCCTCTAAATCTTGAACGTGTGTTCAATCAGATCACACAGTCAGATTAGTTAGTTTTCTATTTAAGGATAGATAAAAGATAAGATAAAAAGGTACTGGACATAGCCCCTTGCACTATGTAACACTAGTGTTCATTAGGAGATTATAGAGAAATAAGGAGATAGTAAAGTTAAGGGAAATTGAATCACTTCTATTGATTTATTTTTAAACATACTTCCCCAACTTCTCTTAGAAACTTTAAACTATATCTTATTTCATTACCACATTGATAGAATTTAAGTGACATTAAACTCATCCATCTACAACCTCACCTTGATAGCGCTTCTTTTCATCCTTGGCCAGCATCACAGCAATCCTCAGGCCAATCCCAGAGGAGCAGCCGGTGATCAGGACCACTTTCTGTTCAGGACTCACCATGGTTTTACTGTCAGTCCTGCTCTGTTTGCCAACTGTGAGACCGGCAGATCGGGTGGCTAAGCAAAATGAATGCTGACCTGAAGTGAGACCTGAGATAAGAGGATAACATACACAGAGAGTGGGTCACATGGACAGGGCGATCGGCCACTGCAAGCCTGGGATTAGCTAAAGGGATGCCCCTTCATAACAGATAGTAGGGTAAAAAAAAATACAATAACCCAATGTTGTATAGAGCGTACTAAGATGTAAAGACATGAATATTTATTTCTGATCATGAGTGCCTAACAAGGTACTGTGTTAAAGAAAGGGGGGGAATTGAAAGGTGTCAATGGAGAAAAAAAAAAGCTAGATTTGGCGCCACCTATTGCTCTTTTGTACATATTGCACAAAGAACAAGTCATCTGAAGCAAAAACAGCTAGTTTAGTCTCTTTGGACCTTTTCTCACAAGAGCATCACAGTTTACACTAATGCTAAGGTGTTTCTCAAAACAATGCAAACTGCAGAGCATAGATAGCCTGCAAAGGAGACTCACTGTTAGACAATGGGAAGGCCATAGCATAAAAGCAAGTCAGTAGTTGAAAATGGGTAGTTCATTCTTCAAAAGCAAGTGACCAGTGTCATAAAATGACAAGTTATGACAGCAGTATCTTTGAAATATCAAGATAAAAAAAAAATATGTTTTCACTGTGATAGATTACGTTGGAAGTGCTTCCTCATATCATGTAAAGTAAAGCCAGTATTATATAACATGCATAGAATTTTAAAAACTAGAATTAAAAAAGTCAAGACACTGAATATGCACTTTACTTTATATGGTATATTTGCACAAAAAATAACTTTACAAATATAAACGTTATTTGGTTTAATAAACTTCACTGCAGTAGTTTTTGAAACTTAAAGTACTGTAAAATAGTGCTGCAAATCAGTCTTGGCCACATATTTTCTTCTACATCGCAATGAATATCAGTTCTGTCAATGCACTGAGGAAAGTATCTTCTTAATGTCACCACAAGCTGCATTCATAACTGCGAGCAGGGTCATCTGGGTATGTGGATTCCCATATACATTCCACTTCCAGGAAAAGAAAAACACCTCATTTAAATTTAGGATCGGAGAGTAGATAGGGAGATCCTCCACAAGCATCCTGTCATATGCTGCAAACCACCACCGTTTTCTGAGATTGCTGCACACCTTGTAATATTCCCTCCTCTTTGGCCTGGGACAGCAATAGTGGCTCTCTCTTCAATGTAATTTCTTCCACACAGATTGAATCCCATTTCATCATAATGTACGAAGGTGTGCAGTGGTTCTTTGGCCTCCAAATCCAGGATATGCTATACAGAGGGAAAAAAAGTAATTCAGTGTAACAAAGCATTTGGCAGAACAAAATGTAAGGAATACACTATAAATATACTATACACTGTAATATACAGTACACTGTAAAGCAAGTGCAACGTTTAGCTGTACATAAAAGTTAGAAGTAAAGGACCTCACAAAGTAAAACATGCATACAAGATTTACCTGTTCATACTGGTGAGGGCCCTCCTTCATTTGATCACTGTTCTGTTCAAATGATTAATTGTATAATTGTTTCATGTACATTTCATCTGTCTGAGCACTCTGTCTATTGTAGAAATTGATATTGATAGAATATTTTCAAAGGTGTAGTCATTTTCCAGATCAGCTCACTGTATGTCTCACAGTCTTATAGCATCGATGCTCCAAATTACAAATGTCTTTTTGTTGCACAGTCAAAAGAGGAAGCCCTTCTAGGTGGTCTTGCAATCATTTTTGAGGTGCAGATAAAAGCAAGCATGCAATATTTTTTATAGTTCTGTAATACAATATTGTTTTCTTTACTGTTACAATACATCACACTATGTCACACCAACTCTGAGTCACACTGACATTAAATTGTGTACTTGTAAAGAGTGACAAGGACATGTTCCAATGAAAGCCTCTTTGATGATCATGATAGTGCATTTATATTGTGCTGATTAACCTTAAATTACTGTATGTTCACCTTACAAAATGTGTGAATAATCAAACTGACTGTGGTTGTCCCTACATTTGGTTTCCCCTGACCAGCCTCAGCCACTCTAAGGCTGTGAATTACCACATGATCCATACATGTTGCCTTTTTTTCATCAGGAATCTGTTATATGGTTGACATCTTCTTCCTTGGTTTTGTCTCCTTCCTCCACGCATCCTCATCCCCCTTCCACAAGGCTGACCTATTTCCGTTTTGTAGATATAGCATGCACCACATGATGACATGATGATCCGATGGACTGCCAAACGAGATGCCACTTATAGGTAGAACTTTGGTCAGTCTGGTCAATTGTTATTATTTTCTTCCAATCTTGAAGGTATGTTAATAAATATGGCACTACCACATATTATCATGTACAGCTGGTACAATTACAACATTATAACTGCATCTTGCTTTAAAAAAATATTTAAAATTTTTTAATACTGCAGTTAAAAAGATTCAATTCTGATTTGGAAAATCCTAATTATAAATTATGTTTATGTAAATTATGTGTATGTTTAAATTATGTCACCACAAAAAAACACACCTTGATTGTAGCTAGCAGTGTTTTAGTTTCAGAATACATAAAGAAGGAGAAAGGGTTATTGGAAAAATGCCTGGAATCTGTTTCCTGCAGTCACTGTCTGCACATCTGAAAGCTGCAGTTCTGTAACAAAACCACTACTGTTCCAAAAGCATAAACTCCCTTTAGTTATTATTCAACACATGAATGGTATCTTTATTTTTAATCTTGTAAGCTACACGACACCTGACTTCTGAGCCAAAACGTTTGATCCTAAAAAGATAAAGATGACAATATCTACTAGAAGTATTAGTAGACTAACTAAATAAATCCATCATGAAGAGTTTGATTTATCCAAAATACTTTATAATGGACTTCATTTTTTCTTAATATCATTTATTTTAACTTCAAACCATCAGATTGTATTCCAATCTTTTAAAGTGGTCTTAAAGAATGATTTGACAGGTTTCTGATGGACTTTTTTCATTAGACTTCAGTTTCTTCATTCCTCATTTCTGAGTCCGATCCTTTCTTTTGAGGTTGTGGAAATAAGAGCAAGCATCAGAGCTGGAAAAAATGAATAACCTACAATATTTTAGCATTTATTGATCATGAATAATCTTTAAAAGAACTTGCTGGACTTCAGTATGTTGACAGAAAGGACTTTTAGAACATTTACACTGAATTTGAAATGAAAAATGTAGAATGATTTGAAAGATTTGGCATTATGAATCATGCACATATTAAAAAGATACCTTTGTACAAAACAGACAAATATAAATTGGTATGTAAAACATATGAAACGATGGCTAAAAGAAGAATCAACATGTCAGCCTCATTCTTTCTTGAACCTATCCAAATATCTCATAAAGGTTTTCCTAATGGTCTCCTTTAACCCTTGCACCTTATGGGCAGAGCCCCGAACACTCTGGAAGCAGGGGGGGTCATCCTTTTTTTTTTTTTTTTGCTTTCACTGCATGTGCATATCTTAGGAGCCCTGTTTGAAAAGAGTCAAGGGTGGGCAAAGACAGACAGGCAAAGGAATTTGGAATCTGCAGCAACATATTTTTATTATTTGGGCAGCAACGCTGTCCTGTCTCAGCATGCTGCACTAGCTCATGGGCTGGAGCGCATCTTCAAAGACAGAAATAGACAGAAGGACAGAAAGAAATCCAGCGTGGAACTGACTCTCACTCTTTCAGATCCTTTATGGATTAAAGCTAACCTCCTCAGCCAGGATTCTGAAGTTTGCATCTGTTAAACTGTGACACAATTGTCTGATGCAAGCCCATTATTTGCATGATTGTTATATAATGGGTAATAAAAACATGGACATATCCAGGATATCACAATATACCAATTTTTTTAATAAACCAATCAATCTCACTGATAATTATGCTGTGTTTATTTGGGTCATATACATATGAACCAGGCTAATCAGGTGGCAAAGAAAAAAATCATTCAAAGATTTGGCATTGTTATTGAAAACACACAAATTTCCATCCTTACATGTTTAAATGCAAGGCTTAAATACCAAGACATGATGAATCTGTGAAGGTGAATCAAAATAACAGTGGTTCTCTTTAGTACATTGAGAAGAACATGTTAGTTTCTGTTCCTATAAGAAATGTTTGATCTCATTAAAGTCTACATATTTATATCTAGTAAAATAAATATCTGTTTATATCACAATAAATAGTTATTCTGAGCTTTAATTTATTAATTCATTTTTCTTTTTCTGACAACCGAGCAATGGGATCTTTTTTTCTCCTTCCACCTGTTGTCTGAATTCGTAGTCTTGTCACTTATTTCAAAACGAGAAAACTTAATATCATATTGATTCATTACAAAGAGAAATATTTTAATCATTCATTTCTTGTAATTCTAGTGATTATGAGTTACAGATAATGAAAACTCTAAATTTTGAGTCAAATTAGAACATGCAAAGTTAAATATTTAAAAGCTCACTTTTTCAGAACCTTAACAGCTAATTAACTTAAAATATCCAAAAAGGAATCGAAAGGCTGTAATAGGTCTCTCAATGTGGATTAACTGTAGGCTGGGCAGGACTGCTGTCCAGACAATCACTGGTAAGTCAACGAAAATAGTGTTTTCCTAGAAAGCTGAGTAGAAGAAAAAGGGTGTTAGTAAAGTATGCACCAGCCTTAAAAAGGGTAGTGAAGAAAAATCTATTCAAAATTTTAGGGGAGCTTTATGAGGAGAGAGGCTGCAGTCAGTTCATCAAGAGATGTTTATGCATACACAAATCCTACATGGGCTACAAATATAGCATTCCTCATGCCAGACTAAACCTCTGTATTCAGATGAAAGTAAATTTTGAATTTTGTTTTATCATCAATGTTTTCCAATCTGGGAGATAACTTAAGAGGTGCAGAACCCCTGTTGCCAGGGTTCAGTCCAGTATGAAGTTTTTCCAAACTCAGTTAGGATTCGGGTATCATGTTGTCTGTTGAGATCAATCGACTGTGTTTTCTAAAGTCCACAGC